GGGAATAGGGCGGCATATAAATAAAATGAACCTTGAACCTTGAACCTTATAATCTTGTAACCATATTACATATTCTAATTACTAGTTTCCCATTACAAGGGAAAGAATGGGCTGTTACATGCCACCTTGAATTCTTGGAGAAAAGACAAGACATAAATCTAATGAAAAAGTAAATACAAGAGACAAAAATAGTCTTGTATCAAGTTTCCTTGCTATTTTAAAGAAATGAATTGAGCATTAATATATAGTATTTAACATTTGAGTAGACAATCCAGTTGATCGTTCAATAAAGGTAGCCATTTTTTTTAACCAATTAGGAGACAACAATATTTGTACAATGGATATTAAAAAAAATACTTACAGAGTTTCATAATTCCTTTCATGTAGTTACTATGTTTACTGCTAAACTATGCTATTAGCTAGGTTTCAAAATAGCTCTCTGTCTCAAAATAAATTTGCTTATTTGGCAAAAAAAAAGTTTTAGCTGCTAAATAATGGTATTCTCTGCAATAAATAATTTCCTACTCCAATCTGAGTTACTCATTCACCCTTTTTTGGTTTTCAATATTATGACACATGGAATAAGCTTGTGCTGCAAAGTCTTTTTCTTTTATTAATGTCGGACATAAACTGGTCTATTCATGAATTTCACTGAATAGTTTCCCTTTCCTTTTCTCCAGCCTCTCTGACTTTATGACCCATGTGATGCTAGCTTTTAGTGTTTTGTCTATTGTGATTTTCTGTTGATCTCTGTTAAGATCTTCTCCAATCTTCCTCTTGGGATTTAGAGGTGCTTTAAAAAAAAAAGTGAACCTAAAAATCAATTTGGAATGTTTTACATATAAACTCTTAAGCCCTTGGCACAGCATATATCAAATTGGACCTTTAAAAAGAACAGTTTTATGTTCTCATGGAAAAAAATGTAACTGGATCATCCAATCAAAACTAACTTGTGTTGCTATATTGTTTAAAGAAAACAGCTGTATGTGAAACAGTTTATTACAAAATTAAATGTTTTGTTAAATACTGCATATTAATTCCAGTATGGCAAATGAAATGTGCTGAACTTAAATGTTTCAAAGCTTCCATAACTTTGAAGTTGATCTGTTTAACTTTTATATGAAGCAACAGTTTGGAGGAGGGGGATATTTCTTGTTGTGAAGGGTCTTTGATGCTCTCTGATCTAATATGTTTTCTTGCAGACATTTCATTAACCAATTAGAGAACATCATCAATGTTAGGCACTGATGATATTATCTAGTTGGGTAATGAAATGTCTGCAGAAGAACAACCAAGATCAGAGAGCACCAAAGACCCTACAGTATAACCATAAACTACAAATACTCTCATATATTGATATTTCTTGTATTATTACAAATTTGAACATATATGACTCTTATCAAAATTATATCCTTATACAATAAATGAGAGCAGTTTCCAGCAGTGTGGATTCCAAAATGATGCCAAGTTCACTATATCATCACACAACTGCTATAACGTATTTCCATCCTTACATCGGATGCAAGTATGCAAGTCATGGCATTTGTGCTAGCACATTGTAACTTGTGTGTCATCGTTTTCTCTCTCGCATCCCTACAGGTACCCAGAACCACAAGCATCCTATTCCATATTCAGAATGGATTACTTTGAACATCAAAGAAACTAAAAAAGGAGAGAGAGAGAGCATAACACATCAACAATCAAAAAAACATCCTGATAGTTTAAGAACAATATTTTCATTCGGCAAATAGGAATTACACTACAGTTATCAGGTTCATTCATACTTCCTCTAATATGTATTTTTATTGGATCGCAGACCCAGAGGTTTTTTCCTTTAAAAAAAAAGTTATTCCCATTTAACAGAGTCTTTGGTATGCTTTGATCCACAGCCTTTTAAAAAGTTGTTTTTTTTTACAACTTTTCCTCTTTTTTAGTTCCCCCCCCCCCCCACCACCTCTTCTTTGACTATGTATCACTCACACACAGTTTCGATGAGCGCTTACCTTTGGTTACAATCATTCCCCGGAGAGCTTCTCGCCGCCCGCCGTCTCTTCTCCGTATCGGTTAAACTCAGTTAACAATGTGGCTTCTCCCTCCTGACGTGTCCCCAGGCTCGGCACGCTTTTTGCCAGCCGCCAACGCTCCCTAAGGAAAGGGATTCTTCTCACCCATCTGCAGCTGCCTCCGCCTCTCGAGTGGGAGAGCCCGGCCAGCCCCTCTCGTCCGGCTCCAGGAAAAGGAGGGTTAATGAGGAGCTCCAACAACTCGGGGAAACTGACCGGCCTGCAGGGAGACGCTGCTCAGGGAAAGCAGGCAGCACAGGGCGGGGTTCTGCCACCGCGCCGGGATCGGAATTCTCCCCTCCGCCTCCGCCGGGGAAACCCGCACCCTTCCTTCGGCCAGGAGGAGGAGTTGGTGGCGGGACCACCTTCGTCCTCTCCCCCTTCTCCGCTTGGATGGCCGCTTAGGGCCGCCTAATCGGCCCCGGAGCCATCGAGCGGCGGCGGCTGAGCGCGGCTCCGGTACCTCCGCCAAAGCGGCCGAGCTGTGAAGCTGCTTTCTCAAACCGAAAGAGAAGCTAGGTTTTTCCCCCTTCCTCCCGGCGCGACCCCTTTCTCTGCAGCCACTCACACGGCCACGCTCCGTGGGCCTAAAGCGTGAGTCCTGCACATCTTTTAAAAATTTCAATTATCCTGAACCGGAAGTTGAGGGAATGGCTTAATTTTTTTTTCTTTGACAGTACTGTAGTGAAGCTGTTTACTTCGGTTTTCAAGCCTTTTAAGTCCTGTGGGTCTCTCGTTTTCCCAGCTGGGCTGAGAAAGCACTTGTACTTCAATGCGCTGTTGGAAACGGGCCCAGTTTTTAGCTAAAAGGCAAGTCATTCCACCCTGCTTAAATCCCTTCATGGCTTCATAAGGCTCACCAAGCTAAATGTCATTCCTGTTACGTGAATTCTGTGATGAGTTCATAGATCATAAATTCATAAAACTCTAGCTAAACATGACTCAGCATATTGGTTAGGTTTAGGTTTATTTCACTTGTATGCCGCCCTATTCCCGGAGGGACTCAGGGCAGCTAACAAACCCAGGTGAGGGAATACAGACAAAAGGAAGAGACAACAAACAAACAACAGAGACAATTTAAAAGCAGTCAACAGCCACACAATTCGAGCAGGGATGGGAACTCATCAGCCCCAGGCCTGCCAGAACAACCAGGTTTTAATGGCTTTGCGGAAAGCCTGAAGGGTGGTGAGGGTCCGAATCTCCACGGGAAGAGGGCTGGAGCAGCCACAGAGAAGGCCCTCCTCCGGGTGGTAGACAATCGGCATAGGCCAGTGGATGGGATTCGGAGGAGGCCTAG